GGAACATCGGCAAGGTCCATAAATAAACCGATTGCTTAGGGATGCCCCATTCGAGAAGCGAATCCAGAGTCACCATGAAAATTCCTCTGTGGCAATGGACCACTCCCTTCGGCGACGACGTTGTTCCAGAGGTGTAATTCAAAACAATTGGATCCCACTCGCTCAGCGGTCGAATCCACCGGAACTCTGGATCCCCTTTCTCCACCATTCCCTCATACGTGTCAACGAAATCACCGAAAATCGGTGAAGAAGACTCCTCTGTCGCAACATCGTCCGCAATAAGGACGAGCACCGGCCGTTTGGATTTTGTTGGAAACAAATTCAAGGCGTCGTTAATAAGGGAGCAAGAAGCCTGATCGACGAAGATGAGCTTGGATTCACTGTGGCGGAGGAGCATGGAGATGGTATGGGCGTCAAGGCGGAGATTGATGTTGTTGAGGACGGCGCCGGCCATCGGAACGGCGAACTGGAGCTCGTACATGGCGGGGGTGTTGGGAGCGACGACGGAGACGACGTGGCCCCTGTGGATGCCGTTGGATGAGAGGGAAGAAGCGAGTTGAAGACATCGACGGTGGGTCTGGGACCACGTGTAGGCAGTGGAGCCGTAGATGACTGAAGGGCAGTCGCCGTAGACGGTGGCGGCTCTGTCGAGGAAGCCAATTGGCGTAAGAGGAGAGGAATTTGCAGGGCTTGGCTTCAGATCTTCCATGGAATTGGTAACTGATAATTTGTTATTTCGATTTCCTCTGTGTCTCTCTCTCTGCAAATGGGGGGAGGAGATTACTGGTTAATTTATAGAGAGAAAAACAAATCCCAAAAGATGACGATGACGATAAGATCAAGGTCCTTTTTTTAGTTATTTATTTTTGGACCTTTTAATTTTCCGATAGTGAAAAATTTTATTCTACCTACCAAAGGCTTCTCGGCGTATTTGATTTAGTCGATATTGGGATTGGAAAATACTCCAACTCTTCACTAGTAAGAAGGAATCTTGTCTTATCACATTTAATATTTAATATTTGACAAATCATCATTTTTTAAAAATACTTTTTTTTCATTTCTCTGTGAAATATTAAATAGTGGTGTGGACAAGATTCCTCCTTACTGGGAAGGAGCCAAATATTTTCCCTTAGAATTTTGGTTGAAAAAGTTAAAGTGGAAGGAAACTAGAAAGGGAAAGTGAAAGACTTATTTTTTTAACTAAATATATATTTGTAGCCTATAATTTTTTGGGTGTCTTTTATTATTTGGTTCGTGTTGTTAAAAAAATTTCAATTGATGGTTTAATTTAATCTATTACCGTTAGTGATGGTAAAAATTTCAGTTGATGATAAATTTTATTCTTATGATAACATTTTCTCATTTTTAAAATTTTTGTCAAATTCACTTAGGATCTGTTTACTTACCCACAATTGTAAAAATTTTCAAATGAGAATGTTATTCCTCTAACGTTGTTTACCAGAAATTTTCTAAAGTCGTAATCAGAATTTTATGTTATTTACTTAATCGAAATTGGAATCAGATATATAACCAATTACTAAGATACCCCTTCTCTTTCTTAAATAATTATAGTAATAATAAATTTTAATTTAATTTATTACTATATTATTGATAGTAGATATTTTTTATTATAACAATTTATTTAGTATTAATAAATAATAAATAATTAAAATTAAATTAAATCAAATTAATAATTAATAATTATAAAAAAATTACATAAAATAATTAATTTTTTATTTGAACAACCATAATTTAATATAATGTATTATTAAATTTTATTATTTTAATATTTAAAAATAATAATTTCTATTTTAAAAAATTTATTGATATTAATTAATATAAATTTATAATATTATATAATAAAATCATATCAACCAATAAAAAATGAAAGTATAAATAGAGAAGAAATCATAAAGGTATAAAAAAATTATTTAAAAATTGTAGGGAGTCTAATTAATGTAGGAAAGAGAAAGAATAAAAATTGTAAATTAATTATAATATATATATGGGGTCCACAGAATAAGAAATGAGAGGAGGATTGATGAGAGTGGTAGGAGTACAACGAGATTACACCATTTTTAGCAAATGAGATTACAAAGTATTTCATTCCTATAATTTGGTAATCATCGTCAATCAGAGTGAATGGAAATATTACGATTCATTGATTACGATTGCGGGTAAGTTTACGGGACCTTACTATCATGTTATAAAATTTATCATTAGTCAATTTTAACATTTATCGACAGCGAGAGACCAAATGGAAAAATGTTAAAACATAACAAACTCATTTAAAACTTTTTAAATAAATTTTTTAAAAAAGTAAATACCTAAAAATAATTTAGCGGTAGACATCAAGATTTGGTTACCTGATACGAATATTCATCGGAGGATTTGGGAACGATTTAAGATATGCCATGATTGAGAAGAAAGAGACGGAGAAAAGAGAGAAGAATTCATGAGGTAGGGAAAGAAAAAAGAGAGCTGATGGGACACGTGAAACAGGAGAGGAAAAAAACACGGAGAGAGATCCAAGCAAGGAGGGACAGAAAAAAACGGAGGGTATCGAAATGTTAGACTGATACTTCCTATTGAAAAATTGATAATTTATTATTTTTTAAAAATTTTATATTTTTTTTTTCTATTTTTAAATTGTCAAACATTACTGATAGAGTAAAGTATTTTCTTTTTATTCATTGGTCGCCACTAATTTTGTCCTATATGGTTGATAAATGAGAGAGAAATACCAAAAAAAACAAAAAACGATTTTTTCTTCTTCTCAACGATGGTAAGGACATATTGGTCTTGACTAATGAAGACTAAGTATTTGAGGATCTTTTTTTTTCCATTGGAATGGCACTTTTCGACCATTCCACCAACGAGTCGATTTTTTGGGTAATTTCAAATGAATTATTATTATTTTTTTTAGTAAGAAATATATATTTTTATTTTCTTTCCCATGTATTTTTAAAAATAGTTCTAACTTACGGTCAAAGTTAAAAAATTGTAATTTTTAGTAGAATTTATTTTTTATTTTTGAAATTTGGCCTATGATTATCTATAATATTTTTAAAAAGTGAAAACTAAGGTAAATATATTGTTTGTAAGTTTCAATTTTTAAAATACATAATAAAATAAAAAAATTATAATTTTAATCTTATCTCAATTTTTAACTTTCAAACTATCTATTTTAGATTTTGAGTTAAAATTTATTATTATATTTATTAAGTTTTTAATTAGTAAATAATGTGACTTTCATGTATTGTATTGTCCTGTCACCTATCTAAATTAGCTATGATAGGAAGTTGATTAGTCAATATTATTTGGTAGAATAATAACAAGAACTAAAACGTTTTTTTTTCTTTTAAATAACAAATTGAAAGTTTAAAAATAACTTTTTAAAAATGAAAGACAGAAACAAACATTTTAAAAGTTCTTCGATCAAATCCAATCGAAATTTAATCTTTTTTAGTTTGGAAAGTTTACGAATTTTAAATAGTTTTTTCAATGATAAAAAAAAATGATTGAATATTAAAGTTGAATATTAACGTAGTATTTTTTTTAATATAAATATTGAAATAGTCCTACTTGTTTTTTTTCCTTTCTTTCTTTAATGACTGACATACTTTTACTTACCTAACGTTTTCTTTGGCGATAAAAACAACTTAATCTTAAAAAATTAAATTGAAGTAGAATTAAGTAAATGAAGTTAATACACAATTAAATAAATTAATACCTAAAGCTTGGTTTGATAAAAAATGGTTTTACTTTTAGTTCCTAACTTTTAAAAATTAAGCTTATAAAAAGTATACGTACATTAATATATAAGTTTTAGTTTATCATTTTTAAAAATATTTTTAAAACAAATTTTAAAAAGAAAGCAAATTTTTGGAAACTAGTTCTAAAAAAAAATTTCCTATGATTTTGAAAGTAAATTTTTTTTAAAGCAATCATTAAATAAACCTAATTTACAAAACAGAATAAAAAAACAAAAACAATTTCATCAAATTTACCATATATTTGGGTTACTATTAAAAATGCAATTTAAATAAAACTGTCTTTTCAGAATACTTTGGTATAGTTTCTTCCGTGATTTTAGATAACTGAAAATACTTTCTTTTTAAAATCGAAATAAAACTATTTTTTCTATGAATATCTTTGAAATAATTATGTTTAAAAAGAAATTCTTCGAAATAATTACGAATTTAGGATGTGTGTAGTATCTTAAAGTGATTTTAGATAATTAAAAGTAATTAAAAAAATCTAAACCGTATTTAAAAAATCTAAACCGTATTTAGTAACAAATAAAAAACATGTTTGAAAAACTGAGTTGCTTTAATTTTTTTCCTATGAAACATCTCAAAAATATCCAAAAAAAGTTATTTTCAAAGTGATGTATGCTCTTATAGTTTAAGGATTATCAAGTCTAAAAAATGAAGAGAAAAATAGATTAAATTAAAAAAACATACTAAATTCATCCTAAATTCTTTAGGTTATTACTCATTCTTTTTTCACCTAAAATCATTCTAGATTTGAGTAGTTTAGATCCACAATCCTTCGTTGTGTCGCATAGTTGTCAGTTAGTCGTCTTGATTTTCATAACCCATTTAAAACACGTAAGGCTTACATTACCTGTTGCCACGTGAAAATACGACAAACAATTACTTTGCTGAACAATCCTTTGAGAAGCCAAGCTATCGACCTACCAAAGTGAGGGCTATCGTTGGAGGGCAATTTAATGACTGCCAAGTGGTAATGAACTATAGGACAGTTTTTGCCTATAGTTCATCGGCCTCTTCGATATGAGTTTCGTGGATGATTTGTTTTTGTGATCAAACAGCTGGCTAAAGTCGTCCAAATGTAAAATGTTTAGAAATTTTGGTTCAATTTTCGGTTCCTTTTGGATGTGGAAAAGCTTTGTTCTGGTCTACCGTCAATTTTCATACATGTTTTTTTTTTATTTGAAAAAGAAAAAAACTAACATTTTAGTGTTTTTTTTTTTCTTTTCTGACAAGTTGGTATAATGACTTAAAAAAAGTTCCTTTTTATTTTTTTAAGCAAAAAGTTCAACTTTTTTAATACCAACAAATGTGGAAACGAGGAATTGAACCTGACTTTTGAGAAAAAGATTTACTACTAAGCTATGTTCATGTTGGCTTAAAACGTTTCGACTTGATCTCTTATAATTAAAATATTTTTTTAGTATACTCTTCGTGATGGTAGATGTGTTAAAATTGATAGATGATAAACTTATATAACACGATACCTCATGAAATGACATAAATTTAGAAAATAAATAAGCTAGATTATCTAAAAGAATTATAAAATAAAAAGGTTTGCCAACTTCTAAGAATTTGAAAGGTAAATTAAGTAAGAAACTTTCTTCTCCTACCGTGCCTTAATTTATACTATAAATTTAAGTTGGACTTGCAGATCAACGTCTATGAATAAAGAAAATCGATCCATTTTTTAGGTACGTAATACTATTCTCTCCCTCTAAATAGATTGGATTTGACTGGCTAAGCATTGAAGCCTCTTTCTTTAGATTAGGCTTCTTCGATCCGAGCTTCGAAGACGATCCGTTTTTGTGATCAATATAGCTGGTTAAAGTCGTCCAAATGTAAAATGTTTGGAAGTTTTGGTTCAATTTCTGGTTCCTTTTGAACGTGGAAAAGCTTTGTTTTCATCCATATATAGTCAACTTTTAATACATAAAAGTTCTTTATTTTAAAACAATAAATAAATAACCTATTTTTTTCAATGTATACTATATATAAAAGGGGTCGGGCAAACTTTATCTTCCTATTTTG